AAGCAGTTAGACGTGTACCATGGACATGTGTATTAATGTGTATGCACATTGTGTGTGTGTGTGTGTGCAGGAACATCCACTACTTGGCCAGCCGTTTTTCATGCTTCATCCATGTCGCACAGAGGAGTTCATGAAACCCGCTCTGGAATTAGCACATGCTCAAAACAGGTGAGAGTCTCTCTGCTGTGGTCATCTGTTGACCAATGAACAGTTTCATGAATCACCCGTCAGTAGCGTCTGTATGTTCACATAGATCACACTGTTTTACACTCAGACAGCACAATGCATTACAGTTCATTCTAATCGGTGTTATTTCAAACAACAAAACAATCATCTTTTACAGAAGACATTCATTTATTCATTCATTCATTCATTCATTTTCCTTCTGCTTAGTCAGGGTCACCACAGTGGAATGAACTGCTAACTATTCTGGCATATGTTTTACATACACTCCATACACACTCATTCACACACACACATACTCAAACACTACGGACAGTTTAGTTCATCCAATTCAGCTAGAGCAGGGGTGTCAAACTCAATTCCTGGAGGGCCGAAGCCCTGCACAGTTTAGTTCCAACCCTGCTCCAACACACTTACCTGTAGGTTTCAAACAAGCCTGAAGGACTCAATTGGTTTGATCAGGTGTGTTTAATTAGGGTTGGAACTAAACTGTGCAGAGCTGCGGCCCTTTTGGAACTGAGTTTGACACCTGTGAGCTAGACAATGCAGTTCATATGTATAATGGAGTTCCCATCAGAACATGTCCAGTGTTGGGTATCTGGGGCCTCATGTATCAACGCTGCGTACGCACAAAAACTTTGCGTACACCAGGTTTCACGCTCAGAATCGCTCACGTTTGGATTTACTAACAATGAACTGAACGTGGGAATGTGCGCAGCTTCACGGCAGCTTTCTGGCTGGCGTACGCACATTTTTTGTGCGTGTCTGTTTTATTTCCGTTGGCGACTCCTAGAGGCAGTTGTGTTAAATTGCTCTCTACAAAGTGTCTGAGCCTTGCAATGGCAGCTGTATGAGACGGGTTCATCTAGCAGGTATATAAGGTTTCCATACCATACAGTTGACCAGCTAAACATTAAAGCGCAATTTGCAGCGGTCGCCTGTTTTCCCAATGTAATCTGAGCGATCTACTGCACGCACATTGCTATAAAGACACTATCTGAAGATGAATTTGCATGCGTGAATCAGAAACATTTCCATTCTATAAATGCAAATAAAATATGATGCACAAACTTATTAATGATTCCTACTTGTCTTTCTCGTTATAAATAGTAGGCAAAATCTGATATGTAGCGGGGGAATAAAGAAAAAAGAGTTCATTATACGCTAGATTGGAACCGAGTTCATGCTCGAACATGTCACAGCACTGCAACATTTTACACCTATAAATCACACTATTTCGTTTTAATTCACTCAGTGCGATGTTCAGACCCAACTGTGTTAACCGCATCAGCTAAACTCTCTATTTTCTTCTTTTGTTGTTAATTCCGGAGAACAAACATGCAAATAACACCGCTTTTCTCCGGTCTACCTCTGAAAGCAGCACCTCCAATTCACATTTTGTTCAAAGTTTCTCTTTTTACTTGATTTTGCCATTGCTTTTTCGTTGGGTTTTTCCATTAGCATAGTCATTAGCATATTCATACGGGGGAGGAGGCAGGGAGGGGTTTTGTGCTCGTGCATGTTGCGCTCAGTTTCACGTTCATTCGAATGTACAAAAGAATATGCGTGAGTTTCGGCGTACGCAGTGTTTCATACATCTGAATTTTTTTTTGCGTACGCATATTTACAGCTTTGTGCGTACGCAATGTTTTAGTAAGATTTCCACGCAAGTCTTCGTACATGAGGCCCCTGATGTTTGCTGCTCTGCTGTGTTTTCAGGAAGGTGAACTATATTGTGAGCTGGCTCAGTGTTGTGGGTCCTGTCGTCGGCCTGGACGTCCCGTTGAGCTTCAGCACTGCCGTTTCTGCTCCAGATTAAATTGTCTTTCTGTCATCCTGATCTGATCTTCAGTTTCCAGAGGACCTGCAGAGCTAACCTGTGGTGAATCTGCAGAAACGGTTTATCATTAACCAGCATCAACCGTCTCTACATGGTTAAACTGGTAAAGAGTTGTGCAGGAACATTCAGCACATGTGCACAAACCAGCTCAGACTTTCTTAGTGAAGTGTAAACACATGGACTGTCAGCGTGTCGTTCATCAGGGATGCTTTCAAATGATCCAAAGTAACAGTAAAGATGTTTTAATGTTACAAAAGATTACATGTCCTATAAATAAATGCTGTTTTTAGGCTGATGTCATAGAATTATTTTTTCTGTCAAGAATCTTGACAGGGTGGCACGGTGGCTCAGTGGTTAGCACTGTGGCTTCCAGCAAGTAGGTCACTGGTTCGAGACCCGTCTCGGTCAGTTGTCATTTCTGTATGGAGTTTGCATGTTCTCCTCGTGTTGGCGTGGGTTTTCTCCGCGTGTTCTGTTTTCCCTCTCAGTCCAAACCATAGACTGTAAAATATATGGACGTAGTATCCGTGATGTCACCCATAGGTTTCTAAAGAGCGCAAAAGAAGCCACAAGTAGGCGCGGCCAACCGTCGCCATTTTGTTCGCGCGTCATCACACCCACGACGGGATACCAAACAAGGGCAAAGAGGCGGAGAGTGGGCGGAGCTACAGACGCATGCTGCATTTAGCTTGGAGCTGGTTCAGACACCTGGTTTACTTTGGGAGAACGCTTAATACTTCATCACCTGCGACTCGTTTGTGTTCTGACCACTTGTGCTTGGTTGTACACTTTATCAATAAAGTGTTTAGACTTTTAAAAACACTGCTGTAACACACTGAGCCACTAAACATTGTTCAGATTAGTGATGGGTCATTCATAAACGATTCGTTCATTTTGAACGTATCTTCAATATGACTCGGGAACTACAAGTCCTCTCAGGAACTGATTCGTTCATCCGCACGTCCGCACATTTGTGCAGGTAGTATCGTTAATTTCAAGTCTTCATCACATTGGCAGAAGCCAATCATATGTGTTTAGAGCCGGAAAAAGAATTGATCCGCTCACCTCTCGAGTCCTCTATCGGGTCTGAGTCACTCGTTCATCACGAGCCAATCATACGCATTTAGAGCCGGAAAAAGAATTGAACCGCTCATCTCTCGAGTCCTCGGGTTTGAGTCATTCTGCCACGTGATGAACGAACGATCATGGCTCCTATCGGCTTAGACTGTGCATTGATTAAGATTAAATGTGTCTCTGTCAGTGTAACGTGAACGAACCACTGACATTTGAAGACATGAAGAGGTGAGCTGAGCACAGAGACAACAATACCTTCATAGACAAAAGAGCAGGTAAACATTGAATTATTATTTTCTCCTTCTCATAGTATTCCATTGATGACTTATTTGTTGTGTGATCAACCTTTTGGGCTAGTTGTAGATGTGTTTTGAAGCAATTCGTAACATTTTAATAATATTTTGGCGAATTGAACCAAATGAACGAAATGACTCGAAAAAAGATTCGTTCATCTCGATGAACGAGACTCAAAGATCCGAGTCAGTAAAATGATCCCAACTTCCCATCACTATTTCAGATTAACAAGAATGATCACTGAGCATGTTTCCTAAATATCTGCAAACATATTATGGTATTTCTATGCTTTAGAAGAGTCAAAACTGTACATACAGCACCTTTAAATGGACAGGAACTGCAGGACTGATATTTATACTCAGCCAATCCCCCAGAGTAGAAAAAGTAAGGTAGGGCCTGCAGTTTGAAGGAAGATAGAAGAGTAAAAGATGGTTAGTAAAGTAGAATCCCTGAGAAAACGACTCAATTACAGTCATTTGAGTATTTGTAATTTGTTACTTCACACCGCTGCTGGTCTTGAGTTGTGAATCTGGCCTATAATTTCACATGTCAGAAGCTTGAAATTGAACTGCGACATTATTCAAATACCCTCGCATCCTGTAAGCCTGGTCTAAATATACATGTTGTTGTGTCTCCCTGCAGTCTGCCGTTTCATTACTCATCCTCCAGGTAGTGTGTGTGTGTGTGTGTGTGTGTGTGTCGTGCCAGGACACGCTTTGAGAGTTGAATGGGATCGAATGTGTCTGATGTGGAGTCTGAATAGGGAAGCTGAGTTGCAGAGAAGACGCTGAAAGTCCTCCGTCAGCATGTCTAAATGGGGCGCGCGGCTCTCTGGGGACTCCATCAGCGTTGGTAAGGAGGTCAGTCTGCTACCCGGAGCATCTCGCTCTAATGGACGGACAGCAGAGATGGAGAGACAGAAACACGGAGATGGAGCACAGCAGGGAAATCAGGCCTGCTTCACAAACAGTGTTGGGGAGGTTACTTTGGAAATGTAGATTACAGATTACAAATGACCCTATTTAAAATGTGATGAGTACCTTTTCGATTACTTTATAAAAGTAAAGTAACTGATTACATCTGATTACTTTTGGATTACTTTTAAGTTTCTAATGGATATTTTCAACTATTTTCAAGCATTTATACTGAGCAGGTGTGAGCTTACGGTTTACTGTTAGAATCTCTAAGGCCGTACTCACACTAGGTACAGTAGCCTCGAACCGGGCCAAAGCACGCTTGTCCCCCCTCCCGTCTCCCCCGACGGCCCGCGCTCACACCATATCGGGCCTCGGCACGCTTACGTCATCGCTGCTGCGCTGTTCAGTGAGAAGCGCTCTCTCACTCAGCAGCACAGTGGAGATTTCTCTAGTTATATCGTTTCAGTCGTTTGATATGCCGTCAAATATTTCGCCAAACAGTCCTTAGGGATGCGGGGACACGCAGTCAGATATTTCACCGGACAGATCCGCCACTTTTGGCGCTCATAAACAATCATAAAGCCCTCGTGCTGCAGGAATGAGGAGGTCTGCTGAAGCCGTGCAGCTGTCGTGCAGTGAGGAGTTCTCGTCTTTAATAAACTACGGCAGTTTGCGTTCCCTGAACAGTAAGAATGATTAATAAATCCATATGAAGCCCCTTAAAAGTCACGTCTCGCTTTCAGGCCGTACTCACACTAGGTACAGTTGCCTCGAACCGGGCCAAAGCACGCTTGTCCCCCCTCCCGTCTCCCCCGACGGCCCGCGCTCACACCATATCGGGCCTCGGCACGCTTGCGTCATCGCTGCTGCGCTGTTCAGAAGCGCTCTCTATGGCAAGCCTTTTAAGCATTTAAATCTTTGTTCTGACTCCATAAATATATTTAGAGATATCTACAATTGCAATTGTACTAGTATGAAATCAGATTGGAGATATCTGCAAATATATTATGACTAGTCATATTCCTCCATTGACTTCCATTGAAAAATATTTGCAGATATCTCTAAATGAGTTTAAGCCAAGCTGGGAGTCCAGCCAAAACCAGCTATATCCAGCTTAAACTAGGCTGGTCAAGCTGGTTTTAGCTGGATTTGGCTGGTAATTTTCCAGCCTGACCAGCTAAGGCCAGGCTGGAAATGGCTGGAAACCAGCCTGGAAATGACCAAAACCCCTCTAAAACCAGCCTGGTCGACCAGCTAAAACCAGCCAACCAGCCTAGGCTGGTTTAAGCTGGATTTTTCAGCAGGGATATGAGAGAATGCTATAGCCAAAATTGGCTCCTGCGGTTAGCTATTGTGGTAATTTTTGCGACAAGACAAACATGATCACTGTTTGTTTGATATAGATGACAGTTCTTCCAAATATCTCGGGACAAAAATATTACAAAGGTAAGTTAATGATAACATATTTTACTGGAACAGTGCATGAAAGTCAGCACTTGAACTTATCTTATTTCGAGCTGTTCTAGAACTGTAAATTATGTATTTAGAAATGTATTTAGAATTTAGAATTTATGTAAATTATGTATCTATCAAAGCATAAAAGTGCATTAAAAAGAACCTTAACATAATACAGAACGAGCTGACTTAAAATATTCTAAAACACTTTATAGTTTTTAAGTAGAACAGATTTTCCCTTCAAAACGTTGTTTATTCTTGCTAATTGTTAGCTTGATTTGATGGATTAGCTAGCTAGCTAATTGGAAACGACTAGCAGCAGACATGACGGTGCTTAAATGAATAAATATGTATTTTGGATAAATGATTGATTCACATTTATGACTGACAGAGTGCAGAAGTGATATGAACTGACTGACATACCCAGCACTTAATACATAAAGTTTTCTTCTGTATTATTATTATTAGCGATCATTATACAGTATGTGGAGGAGTTGTTACATTAGAGGGAAGGAAATGAGAATTACCGGGGAAACAAATACTCATTTATTTGTCACGCTTGACTGGAAGCGTTGTTAATGGAGTTTGAGAGCTCCTAAAGCATTTAGGAATTGCATTTATGAAACGAGCCGCTGCTGCCATCTGTTGATGATGATGTGGATGATGGTGTCATTACATGACCTGACCGCCAGGAGCCGCCAGAGACTGACGCTAAAATCAGCGCATGGGTAAAATAAAGAAAAATAGCACAAGCTCAGCATTCAAGCACTTGTCATGCATTTACTTGCCTTCCACCTCTGAGTCAAATCTGAGTTTCTGCTGCTGAACACAAAAGATATGTTGTTTGTTTGGATATTATATTTATATTATGTTGGAAACAAGTTTACTTTTATTATATGCACACACATTTGTCAACATTTTAGCAATTTTTTTATTTACTCATTTTCCTCCGGCTTAGTCCCTTTATGTATCAGAGGTTGCCACAGTGTAATGAACCGCCAACTATTCCAGCATATGCTTCCCTTCCTGCTGCAACCCATCACTGGGAAACACCCATTCACTCTCATAAACCACGGCCAACTTCATTAATCAGTTCCCCTATAGCGCATGGGTTTGGACTGTGGGGGAAACCAGACCACCTGGAGGAAACCCACACCAACACATGTGAGAACATGCAAACTCCACATAGAAATGACAACTGACCCAGCCGGGGCTCAAACCAGTGACCTTCTTGCTGGGTTTTTGCCAGCGTTTTCATTATCATATCTAATAATTATATTTTTATATCTTTATAGCTTTAAATTGTTTGAGTACTTTGTAAGACTTAAACATGTTTCGGTTAGTTGTAGTGTTATTATAGTCTGAATAATAATAAAAATAAATATATATATATATATATATATATATATATATATATATATATATATATATATATATTGTGTGTGTGTGTTATATTTGTATTCAAAATAAACATTTATATTAATGTATAATAGATTTAAAGATCTATAAAGTAAAAAAAAAAAAACAGGTCAGCATTTTAATCATATAAATATAT